TTGGTAAATTCATTGGGTGTATTAAACTGTCATCGGTTAGGAACACTCTAGCGCAAAACCGTCTCCCACACACGGAGGCTGTGGCTGTGAATGGCCACAGAGGACTAGGGCTCTCGTCTTTCACCATCCAGGAGGGGGTGAGGAGCCCCAGGCATCGCAGATAAGAAGAGTGATGTTTTGTAACACTTAGGAAAGAGAGCATCAGCTCGTAGTAAATTTTTTAAAGGCCATGTGGTATCATTAAACGAACACTAAAGACAGAGACATTTTACAATAAAAATTCTATCAAGCATACGTTATAAAAATCTAACATTTGACACTTTATGTAGACTAATGAATATATTTTAGAATGATTTTACTTTTTCACAGAGGTCAGAGAAGCAAAGCTATGAAACATGTGGAGAGATTGCTTCTCTATTTATTTCAAAACCAAAAGCACCACGAATGGCTAAAGAACAAATAGCCAGGGAACATGGACTTCTAAATGTGATGTCTAGTCTAACCAGCACATTTTAAGGCAGAACAAGTTGTTAGAGTGCTTTTTATTCTTCTATTAAGTAAGCACCACCCGAGAGAAAGGAAATAAAAGAAGGTGAAATACAGTCTAACTATTAAGATTGTGTTCTTCACAATAAGACAACCTGGATTCAGGTCCCGTCCCTGCTTCTAATGGCTGTGTGATGTTGGATTAGTAAACGCAGCTCTCTAAACCACAGGGTTTTCCTTGTAACATAGAAATAATATCACCCTCACGGTGCTGACACAAGATTAAATGAGCTGGGAGGTCAGAAACCCAGCCCACTGCCTGGCACATGGAGCACTTATTAAATGTCGAAGATTGACAAGGATGTTGAAATGGCTGGAATGTAGCTAAAGCATGATTTTACATTCTGACGTCATCAGATTCCTCACTGTGTCAAATTCAAATGAGGGAAAGAATAAAATTCAAGTACTGTTACAAATCAGGAGTATGGACCAAAAGGGGATGCTGTAATTAATCTAACGGAAGTTAACGTTACAGGGTAATTTGACCATAAATTCCTAACTGGGCAGGTCATGCTGGACACAAGAGGGAGTGTGGCAAAGGCCAGATTAACACAGCTAACATTTACTGAGTCTCCTATGTATCAGGCGCTCTGGGGAATTCTTTGCCTATCATTGCATCTCACTAGCACCACAGCCCCAGGAGAGCTTGTGGGTAAAGGCTTAACAAAACCCGTCTCCTTCAATAAGGACAAGCTTGACCCTGGGTTAACTTGCTGACTCTGCTTCTCTAGAAACTTGATGAAGGCAGGGTGTCGGCTGCATTAGTAGGCAGCACGGCTTATGGTAAAAATGACGCCGGTGGCTGAAATGCATACTCATAATACCAAATGAAAAGCCAAAATCTGAAGTGACTCTCATCAGTAGGCATGCCCCTGTGGGGACCTTGGAAGTTATGTCCATGAGGCTGTTAACAGAAACAGTGTCTTCCTTGCAATACGGAGCTACTAAGCCAAGGTGGATTCACATTTGCTCTTTCTCTTGCACAAGATCCAACTGCTGGGACACTGGGGACACTAGCAACACTAGCCTGCTGGCAGTCACATGGCCACAGTGAGGACCACGCCCACTGAAGAAGAGACTCCATGCTGCCCTCCCTGCAAGCACAGCCTCCCGGCCTATATTCTTCTAATAGGATGGGGGTTTGGGGGCAGGGTGTGGCCCATGGTGACTTAGGGTGTCTGCATAGCTAATTAATTAACAAGACATTCTGGTAGGTAGTACAGGTAAGTACTACGATAATCTCCATGTTTAGAGAGGAAAGAGAAATTTAACTTTTCCAAATCTCAGGACCAGCTCTGAATGGAGAGAGCCTGACTATGAAGTCTGGGTTTTGAATACTATTCCAATCTACTTTTATGACCTGACTTTAACATCCACTAGCTGTATGAACTTGGGCATGTTAAACTCCCTGATTCCTCGTTTCTGAATCTTTATAAACTATAAGTATGTATTTGAGGATTATAAATACTGTACAGAAAAGAATCCAGCCCAGAGCCTGGCCTACCTATAGGAACCTGAGGCATTGCCCTTCCCCTTGGCCCTGCCTGCTTAACCCAGCAGGGATTCCCCAGACACAGCTGTTGCAACCACCCCAAGGACACGCACAGTCCATCCATGCTAAATGCCCAGGTGACTTCCCTGCCTCTTGCTCTGTGCCTGCCCCTCGCATGACCCACTTTTTCAGACTCTTCATCAATTGCCCTTTATCCTGAGCCTACCTGCCAAAATCGTAAATTAACTGGTAGTCGCCCTCGCCAGTTTGGCTCAGTGGATAGAGTGTTGGCCTACAGGCTGAAGGGTCCTAAGTTCGATTCCAGTCAAGGGCATATGCCTGGGTTGCGGGCTCAGTCCCTAGTGGGGGGGCATGCAGGAGGCAGCCGATCAATGATTCTCTCTCATCATTGATGTTTCTCTCTCTCTCCCTCTCCCTTCCTCTTTGAAATCAATAAAAATATATTTAAAATTAATATATCTTAAGTATATTTTTGGTACATATTTTAAATATATTTTTGGTATATATGGTAGCTTACACTGTATTTCTTAAGTTCTCTAGCCTTCTCTGACTTTCATATCATTTTCACTGGCTAGACATAAAGATTGAGAACTTGGCCACGTAGAAGTCAAAGTTGATCTGGTGGGAATAGATGAGCCAGGCAAGGAATCTAGTTTAGAGGAGACCAGTGCCAAAGCGGAATCCTCTGTACTCATGTCCTTGCCAGTCTGTCCGTTACCGGCAAACCCACTGCAGGCATAGCCTCTACATGCACAGCCTCATAGTATATCAGAAATTACTGAAGTCATGAATGAATGGATAAATGCCTTACATTTTCATGGTTCCCCGCTCTACATCCATCCCCTCATCCCACTATAGGCCAGAAAATGTTGGTAATAAAGAAATATTCAAAATGCTTAGGAGAATATTTTTTAAAGAAAAACAAATAAAGAAAATTAACACATGAGATAATGAAAATATATATATGCACCCAGACCACCAACCTTACCTTCCAAGAAAGCATTTAGGGAACGTAGTCAGTTTTCTTTTTCTGTCTTTGATCAGATTTCCTTGTTTGCACATCATTTTGTAGAGCTTCTCACCCTGTTCAGAGATCATTACCCAGGTGTCTTGCTCCATTCCTAATTTTAAACCTATCAAACGTGAAACACAGGTAACTGGAAAAGTCCATTCATTCACTCATGCCTTTATTAAACAACCTTTTATTGCATGTCTGCCATGTGCTGGGGCTGTGGGTACAGAGCTCTGTACTACAGAGGCCTGGTGTTCAGGAAGCTCATGAGATACAGGGAGGCAGTGGAGGTAAGATGCCCAGGGCGATCTGGCACCTTTGTGCAAGCTCTGCCTCAAAGGTGCATGGTTTGGCCAGTGGAGGAAGAACCGCTGTATCTCAGACTCTATGGACCCTTTTGTCAGGACTCCATCAGAACAACTGGACAGGGTGACCCCAGAGACAGCCTAAGAGGAAAAATTCTGATACAGCAGGGACCCACTCAGAGTAGATCCCTAATCTGAGAAATTTTCAGACAGGCTTCACAGAAGGGCCTGTGTGAATGCAGAGGTACGAACAGGATTTGCAGAGAGAGAAAAGAGCCATGAGAGCTAACTGAGGTGAAGCAGCACAGACAGGGAGCCCTGGGTTTAGGTGAGAGCACAGGACATTCACTGTGGATTAGGCAGAGTCCTTGCTCAACTGCAGTTCAAGGTCCTTCATCCCTTAGGTACTGGGGAAACATCTGTTTCAATCAGAGGGGGAGAAGGCAGGGTAGGGCAGGAAAGGAAGTTCTGTTGCTTTGGAAACTAAGCTCAGAGGGCAAGCTGAAAGGGGGAGGGTTTATAAAGAGGGAGATCATTAGGATGGAAATGCAAGTTTGAGTCCCTACAGACAATAATAGGAACAGAGAAGAGAAATAACTAGGAGGTGGTATTGGGAGGACACACCACCAGGTTAATTGTACGTGTGAAGGCAAGAGGCAAGAGAAGAAAATCAGGATGCCTTCCAGACTTTTGACATGACAACTAAAAGGAAGTGGGAAGCATAGTGGGCAAGGGTTTCAGGTCAGGAGGAGCCCAGCACTGACCAGGTTGACCTTGGACATTCAAGGGGAGTCCAGGGGTCAATAGGATGCGTAAGTATGAAGCTCAGGTGAGCGGACAAAGCTAGACATAAAGACTGAGAACCTGGCAATGCAGAGTGGAAGTTGATCTGATGGGAATAGATGACCCAGGCAAGGAATCTAGTTTAGAGGAGAGCAGTGCCAAAGCAGAATCTTAGGAACACTGACATTTAATCAGTGGGACTTTCATGAAGAATTGTTGCAGAGGAAATACTTGAATTATTTTAGTCCTCTAGCTACAGAATTTCGTACTAACATTTTATTTTTTACAATGGCAGGAGCCATTAACATTTGTCAGTAATAGTGAATAACCCATTAACAACTGAACCTATTGCCTGGCTGGTGTGCTCAGTGACTGAGCGTCAACCTATGAACCAGGAGGTTATGGTTCGAGTCCCGGTCAGGGCACATGTCCTGGTTTCTGGCTCAACGTCCAGTGGGGGACATGCAGGAGGCAACCAATTAATGAAAATTTCCCATCATTGATGTTTCTATCTCTTTCTCCCTCTCCCTCTCTGAAATCAATAAAAATATATTTTAAAAAGCATTGAGCCTATTAACATACACAGATTTCTTTCTTTCTTTCTCCTGCCCCCCCCTCCACTATTTTTTAGGGGGGAGGGGTTGGGCATATCTACATACATAGTCATTCTGAAAAATCTTTAACTTGATGAAAATTTCAATTTATTTTAAAATAATCTGCTATATTTGAGTAAACTGCTAGATTTAACAAAACTTAGGAGTCCATTATGCATTCAAAATTTTTGTCTTAAAAATTACCATCTGGTTCTTCCTCCAACACCAATCAAAGGAGTAAGTATTTGAAAATGCTTTGGAAATTCTTAGCACAACTGTGTACTATGGATATTTTAATCAAGGTAGAAAATTTATACATCTCCAAGGGAAAATATCTGAGGATGGAAAGGGCTCTTCATGTTCTAAAATTTTATCACCAATGAGATGTTTTATTCCTAGACATCTAGTGAAAGAGTACACAGTCATACTTCTTATTGATCATTTGATAAAGAAACTAGCAGTTATATAAGCATTTCTATTTCCCAGCTGAATTACAGAAACATGGTTACTTGCAGACAACTGAATATTGCCAGACCAAATACCTCCCACAGATCTCCCTAAAAAAACATGAAGCAAATTTGAGCTAGGCCTGCCTGGTGTGAACAAGCTCCTTATTGGGTTATGTTACACAATACTCAGTGCCATTGTAACATGTTTAAAAAGTTAATATATATCCAAAGTGCCCTCTTCTATATTTAGGACACTAACGTATTTGGAATTTTCAGTGTACTGCTAAATATACAGAGAACGATTGTTGGAGGCCCTACAACACTGCATATTATTGAAGCTTGTCTCTTAAAGGAAAACTCTGTGATGATGCTGTAGAAACGGCAAGAATACAGTGCAAAGACAATGGAACGAATGTGAAAGCAAGTGAAACTTTTTGCTGTAGACTGAATGTCTGTGTGCCCCCAACAGTCATATGTGGAAACCTAATCCCTGGTGAGATGGCATGAGGAGGTGGGGCCTCTGGGAGGCGGTGAGGTCATGAGAACGGACCCTCATGAATGTGTTAGTGCCCTTATAGAAGAGACTCCAGAGAGATCCCTCTCACTCCCTCTACCTTGTGAGGTTACAGCAAGAGGCCTTGTATGAGGAAGTGGCCTGTCACAGAACACAGACTCTGCAGGTGCCATGACCTTGGTCTTCCCAGCCTCCAGAACAGTGAGAAAGAAATATCTGTTGCTCATAAGCCACCCAGCTATGGTAGTTTGTTATAGCAGCCCGACCAGACTAAGACACTATTTAAAAGACACTGCCAGACACAATACAACTATTTTGCTAACTACATAAGGTTATTCTTTTGTTTTAGTAAGTAATAATATTGGAAGCTTTCAAAAATTATTTCAGCATGGGGGACTTACATCACATAGGAAATTCAAGTAAGCATTATATACCTTCTTCCTTTCTCATAACTTTTGCCCATTATCTGCTTTTCTGCTAACTTAGAGATTCACCAAGCATAACAGTGCCCAATTCATATACCTACTTTTTCGTCTTTCTCTTTCTTTCAAAATAGCTTCTAACCATTCGTGTTTCTCTTCAGGTGTTTTTGCCATACACACAAACCATTTATTTTTTGCTGTGTTATGTATCTTCCATCCATTAACCACAATGTGTCCGCTGCTATGGAAGTCAGCTGGAAATTAAAGAGCAAAGGTGAATGAGCACATGTTATCTATAATATTATTTCAATGCAGTCGTTCAATTAGCAAAAGTTCCAAAACCAGTGAATTCTTCGAGATACCTTTCCTTTATATGTGTGTGTTGAAGAACAAAAAATAAAAAATCAACAAAATGTTTATATATCGAGTGCAGTCAGTGCTCAATTGTCGAACATTTCTAACATCTGTTACCCCTCACAGGCTCTCACTCGCCTACATCTGGCACAGATACACTGAGGACAGCACTGTATGCCCCTCCCTCCAAAGGCCCTGGATGATTACATGTCTTTATCTAGTGTCCCAGTTTCCCATCAGCACAGTAACCATAGCAATCAATACAAAATTCACTTCAACTTCTAGGGCAGATGGTACAAATGTTGACGACCACGTCATCTGAAGAAAAGGAAGGAAGTGAGCCACAGGGAAGAAAACAAAGATAGCTGCTGACGCAACAGGGCAGAGGTTCCCCGGGGAGACATCAGGGCCAATGAAGGACAGCGAGGAGGCTTGGGTGTGCCTGCCCCTATCTCACATCTTCCCACCCCAAGCATGGAAGCCAGAGAGCTGTTCACATTTTAGACAGGTAGCATTCCTAAGTGCCACTAAATGGTCTCTTTAGAGAGCCTTCAAATGAGTCACTGCCACCTTGTAAAGACTAAAGTGCACACCTGCCATGGAAAGAGAGCCTGCGAGGTCCCACACGTGATCACGGGAGTATTTGCAACCATAGTTGGCAGCACAGAAAGGGATTTGAAATGTGACACAATGTCACATAGATACTTATAACCCATAAGATCACTTAAAGAAAATCAATTCATCCATTAAATATTTCTGCATTCACACTCACTAGACTAGGAACTGTGTCTATAACATTCCTACTCAGCTATTTCTTTTTATCTGTGTTTAATGTTAGTATGTTTCAGCCAAAAATCCTTTAGCCTTTTTCCTCTGAGTGCTCGATCTAACAAAGTATTTCTAAGCTCTAATGCACTACACAGGAATTATTCAAGTGAGAAGTCTGTCTTATGAGGGAGTTTACCGTTGGCCTTTGATTTTAAATCTACTAATCACTTACCTGTACCATCATCCACATTCTCCACTTCCATCACCTCTGTATTGATCCGGCCACGAAAAAGGTACCGATGTCCATCTGTAGATGTCTTGCTATTCTTCAATCGTCTTATAAAAGAATGAAATTGCAAAATCATTATTACCCTACTTAATGCAAGACAATGGTGATGCAATATAATTTAACCAAATCTTTGTAAAAGAAAGACTCAACAACATCAAATGTTAGGCTCTTGGTATTTTTCACTTGTGTTCTCCTATTCATAATAGCACTGGTGCATTATGAAATGTGACTTCCAGGTTTTTTTAAATAAACTAAAGCTCTGGGCTCAAGACAATATATAGGTGGTAGGGTAAAGCTCAATATAGGACATCAAAGATACCTAATCCACACTAACAGACACTAATAGTTGGTTGAAATTTGATTTGATTTCTTTCACCTCATTTTTCAGTAAATAGCTGGTAATTCCCATTTTTCCAATCCCTGGTAAAATTCAGTTAGTTCTTATGGCCCCTCTGCAAATAAATTGACTCCGCTGGAGGTTCCTAAGCATTATCCAGCTAAAAATATTTTCCCTATATTGTTTTTATGATATGACTAGAGACCCAGTGCACAAAATTCATGCACGGGTAGGATCATGAGGCCTGTGGTGATCAGGGCCAATCAGGGCCTTCTGGCTGCCGCCGGGGCCTTCCTTAGTTCCGCACTGCTCCCTGGTGGTCAGCACATGTCATAGCAAGCGATCAAACTCCTGGTCTCCTGGTGGAACTCCCAAGGGGACAATTTGCATATTAGACTTTTATATATATAGATAACTGTATACTTGTTGGATAAGTCTCTTAATACATTTACAATCCTTCATAAACACCATATTTATTTTCAAAAGAGTCCAAAACATTCCAAAATGTTGCATATAGTGGGTCCAGTACTGGTTTTTAATCTTTAAAAGTATGTAACACAAAGTAAGAAAACCCAGGTTTACAGGTTTCAGATGAACATTTGAAATAATGAATTAGGTCATTATGTATGCTTATAGTTCAATCACCGAACATTCACAACAGATTGCTTTAAAATCAAAGTCTTTTCCATTAAATTTAAAAGGAAAGATTGTAAGGAATGATTCAAGAGGATTAAAGAATACCTAATCACTCCAGAGATTTCAATTGACCTGGACTATTCAAGTTGACTTACTGACATAAGTCTGCCTAACAATTTAGTATGCTGAAATAACTATTCATTTACTGTATAATACAGTTACACCTAGCAAAAGTTAAGCTGTAACTGTATACCAACACCAGTGTTCTCTCACCTCCTCTCCTTGGTAGATACCTGCCATGGAGTGGAATGGGTGGGTACAGGGAGGTGACACAAGGTATCTTCACAGTCCCTGACTTCCTTCTTTGGAAATAGTATATATCCCTACTTATCCGTCTAAACCCTCATTAGTCCTTCATCACTAATAAAGAAAACTAACAAAATTGATCAATTCAGCTGACTGACAAACTGTAGGTCTTCAGGATCTTGCACTCTTAGGTTCATTCTGAAAGCAACCTCTAAATGCCCTTTGTTAAAAAGCCTAAATATATACTATAATTAAAAATTCAAACCAAGTAGCTATGAAAGTTGGCATCACTGGAGGCCAAAGGTAAAGAATGCAGAGCCAACTAATATGCAGGTAACTGCATATTCTCTCAGGTAGGAAATCGTACCCTGGTGTGTTGCAAAAAAGGATTTCTTATAGTTGATACATCACACTTAAAACCAATCATATTTTGAAATGCTTAATATCCTTGATGACAGTTTTAGTCACAGGCATGGAATTTATCATTGGGTCCTATTTTTGAAGTATTAATTTCCTTTGTGATCCTGCTTTTAACCCTGTACAGGCTTTTTATATTCTCTTGACCTGCAGATGATAACAGTGAATATGAAATTCTAGTCAGTGTCTGATCAATACAGTAATACTTCGATCAAATAGATCTTTGGTCCCTCCAGAAAGTGGCTCTATTGAATTCTAAAGATTAAAAAAATCCATGGTTTGAAAATTATTTTACTCTATATTGTAATGTTGAGTATTTGCATATCTTGAGTCTATGATTTTCTTCCTAATTATGTGTTTCAATGGACACCGGATGCATGTACAGGAATGTTCACAATAACAGAAAAACTGGAAAGAACTCAAGTCCATGGACAGGAGAATGAATAAACTATTAATTAAATTGTATTATATTCAACCAATAGACTATTATGCAGCAGTTAAGATGAATAAACTATTGCTACACACAGATATATAGTTTAAAAAGTATATTCTATAAAACGTAAGTTGCAGCAACTAAATACATGATAATACCATCTGATATACAAAGCTCATAAAAAGCCAAACTACTAGTCGGCAGTCATGTTATAAGTATCCAATATTACATAACTCATTCTTTTTCAATACTAGTTTCTTCTAAGATTAATAGTGCTAGAAATATGGACAGCTGGGATACCTAATTAGCACTCTTGTTTTTAATGAATGTAATTCTAAAATTAAAATAAATTCATCAGGTCCCTGGTTCTTGCAATTACAACATTATGGAAGTTTGGAAAAGGTCCAGTTTACTCATACTTTCTGAAGGATCATTAGAGCTTAGACAGTGCAAGGTAAAGGAAGTGAAGTATTCTAGAACGAAGGAAACAGATGGTGGATTCACATTACTATCATTCAGGAAGGGATGGACACACAGATTTATTTAGTGATTTCCATTTCTAATCACTATATATTTTATCCATGCTACACATACATTCAGGGTATTTGCTAAACCACAAGATCTTAATTTTATAAAGCCTGTCTTCTTGTTTAATTTATTTAAATATTAAGTCCATGAGACCATAAATAATATCATTATTGGTACAGTCTTCAGTTGCAAAAGCTTTTAACTTAAAGGCAGGAATATATATAT